AACCCAGGAGGCGGAGGTTGCGGTGAGCCGAGATCGCGCCATTGCACTCCAGCCTGGGTAACAAGAGCGAAACTCTGCCTCAAAAAAAAAAAAAAAAAAAAAAAAAGTGTGTATTAATATCCCACTTGAGGCTGGGCGCGGCTCAAGCCTGTAATCCCGGCACTTTGGGAGGCCGAGGCGGGTGGATCACGAGGTCAAGAGATCGAGACCATCCTGGTCAACATGGTGAAACCCCGTTTCTGCTAAAAATACAAAAAAAATTAGCTGGGCATGGTGGCGCGTGCCTGTAATCCCAGCTACTCAGAAGGCTGAGGCAGAAGAATTGCCTGAACCTAGGAGGTGGAGGTCGTGGTGAGCCGAGATCGTGCCATTGCACTCCAGCCTGAGTAACAAGAGTGAAACTCCGTCTCAAAAAAAAAAAAAAAAAAAAAAAAAAAAAATACCCCACTTAATAGAAGAGGCTTAGGGAGATTAAATAACTTCCCCAAGATCAGGCAGCTAACAGGTGAAAGAGCTAAGATTTGAGCCCAAGTCAACTGCTACATTTAAGTGATTTTACTTTCTCAATATTCCTCAAATTCATTTCTGCATCTTTTAACTGCCTAGTTCAGGGACTCTTCTTTCTCAGAACCCATAGAGCAGAGTCATAAAAGCACTGATTTTGGAATTAAATACAACTATATTTGAAACCCAGTTGTTATTTATTGGTTGTCTTATTTCCCATTTGTAAATCAAAGATATTACTTGCCTTCAGTGGTTGTGGTAAGTACTAAAGAAAATACTCGGCCTATAATTCCAGCACTTTAGGAGGCCAAGACGGACGGATCACGTGGTCAGGAGATCAAGACCATCCTGGCCAACATGGTAAAACCCCATCTTTCCTAAAAATACAAAAATTATCTGGGCGTGGTGGTGCATGCCTGTAATCACAGCCACTCAGGAGGAGGAGGCAGGAGAATCGCTTGAACCAGGGAGTCAGAGGTTGCAGTAAGTCAAGATAGCACCACTGCATTCCAGACTGACGACAGAGTGAGACTCCGTCTCAAAAAAATAAAAATAGCCGGGCGCGGTGGCTCAAGCCTGTAATCCCAGCACTTTGGGAGGCCGAGGCGGGTGGATCACGAGGTCAAGAGATCGAGACCATCCTGGTCAACACGGTGAAACCCCGTCTCTACTAAAAATACAAAAAATTAGCTGGGCATGGTGGTGTGTGCCTGTAATCCCAGCTACTCAGGAGGCTGAGGCAGGAGAATTGCCTGAACCCAGGAGGCGGAGGTTGCGGTGAGCCGAGATCGCGCCATTGCACTCCAGCCTGGGCAACAAGAGCGAAACTCCGTCTCAAAAAAATAAATAAATAAATAAATAAAAATAAAAATAAAGAAAATATTCATACTCGCCAGACGAGATGGCTCACACATGTAATCCCAGCACTTTGGGAGGCCGAAGCAAGCAGATCACGAGGTCAGGAGTTTGAGACCAGCCTGGCTAACACGGTGAAACCGTCTCTACTAAAGATACAAAAATTAGCCAGCCGTGGTGGCAGGCACCTACTGTAATCCCAGCTAATTGGGAGGCTGAGGCAGAAGAATCACTTAAACCCAGAAGACAGAGGTTGCAGTGAGCCATGATTGCACCACTACAGTCCAACCTGGGTGAAAGGGCAAAATTCCATCTCAAAAAAAAAAAAAAAGAAAAAGAAAATACTCATACTCAAAATACAGTAGTTCTTACAAGTCCTTTCTGTAAATCCTTTAAATTCATGCAGAAGAGAAACTATAAGCCAAAGTATTTGAAAACATCAGGCGCAGTGGCTCATGTCTGTAATCCCAGCACCTTTGGGAGGCTGAAGCGGGAGGATTGCTTGAACCTAGGAGTTCAAAACCAGCCTAAGCAACATAGTGAGACCTCATCTTTACTAAAAATAAAAATAAAAATATTGCGAGGCATGGTGTTACATGCCTGTGGTCCCTGCTGCTCAGGAGGCTGACACAGGAGGATCGCTTGAGCCCAAGACTGCAGCGAGCCGAGATCATGCCACTGCACTCCAGCCTGGGCAACGGGGGGACACCCTGTCTCCAAAAAAAAAAAAGTAAATTCAAAAATAAGCCGGGTGGCCGGGCGCGGTGGCTCAAGCCTGTAATCCCAGCACTTTGGGAGGCCGAGGCGGGTGGATCACGAGGTCGAGAGATCGAGACCATCCCGGTCAACACAGTGAAACCCCGTCTCTACTAAAAATACAAAAAATTAGCTGGGCATGGTGGCGCGTGCCTGTAATCCCAGATACTCAGGAGGCTGAGGCGGGAGAATTGCCCGAACCCAGGAGGCGGAGGTTGCGGTGAGCCGAGATCGCGCCATTGCACTCCAGCCTGGGTAACAAGAGCTAAACTCCGTCTCAAAAAAAAATAAAAATAAAAATAAAAAAAAATAAGCCGGGTATGATGGCTCACGCTTATAATCTCAGCACTTTTGGAGGCTGAGGCAGGTAGATCACAAGGTCAGGAGTTCGAGACCAGCCTGGCCAACATGGTGAAACCCTGTCTCTACTAAAATACAAAAAATGAGCTGGGCTTGGTGGTACATGCCTATAGTTCCAGCTACTCGGGAGGTTAAGGCAGGGGAATCACTTGAACCCAGGAGGTGGCAGTTGCAGTGAGCTGAGATTGCCCCACTGCACTTCAGCCTGGCAACAGAACAAGACTCTGTCTCAAAAAAAATCAAAAATAAATAAAAATTAAAATAGCCCAAAAAAGTGTGTGTTTTTTGTTTTTGTTTTTCTGAGGCAGAGTCTTGCTCTGTTGCCCAAGCTGGAGTGCCGTGGCATGATCTCAGCTCACCGCAACCTCCATCTCCCAGGCTTAAGCAATTCTTGTGCCTCAGCCTCCCCAGTAGCTGGGATTACAGGTGTGTGCCAGCACACACTTAATTTTTGTATGTTTAGTAGAGACAGGGTTTTACCATGTTGCTCAGGCTGAACTCCTAAGCTCAGCCAATCCACCCACCTTGGCCTCCCTCAAAAAAAATGTTTTAAGAGAAAAAAAAAACTATAGTCTGGTTAAAATATTGGCTGGGCATGGTGGCTCACACCTGTAATCCCAGCACTTTGGGAGGCTGAGGCAGGCAGATCATTTGAGTTCAGGAGTTCAAGACCGGCCTGGGCAACATGGTGAAACCCTGTATCTACAAAAAAATGCCAAAATTAGCCAGGCATCGTGGTGTACACCAGTAACCCCAGCTACTCGGAAGGCTGAGGCAGCAGAATCACTGAGTCCAGAAGTCAGAGGTTGTAATGAGCCAACATCGTGCCATTGTACTTCAGCCTGGACCATGAGAGTGAAATGCTGTCTTCAAAAAAAAGAAAAAGAGGGACTTATAAAACATATAAAGAGGTGTGGGGGTGTGTGGGTGTGTGGAGGTGTGTGTGTGTGTGTGTGTGTGTGCATAAGCTACAGGCTGGTCGCAGTGGCTCATGTCTGTAATCCCAACACTTTGGGAGGCCGAGGCAGGCGGATCACAAGTTCAGGAGTTCAAGACCAGCCTGACCAACATGGTAAAACCTTATCTCTACTAAAAATACAAAAATTAGCCAGGCATGGTAGAGCTCACCTGTAATCCCATGCTACTCAGGAGGCTGAGGCAGAAGAACTGCTTGAACCCAGGAGGTGAAGGTTGCAGTGAGCCGAGATCATGCCACTTCACTCAAGCGTGGGCAACAGAGCAGAGTGAGAGTGCATCTCAAAAAAGGGGAAAAAAAGAGCTACAATATACACAGACACATACACATTTACTCTCTACATACACACTATATACACAGACATACATATCCATATATACACATTTACTGTATACAAACACACACATATACAGATATGCATAAAATATCTACATATGTGTGTCTGTGTATATGCACATTTACTATACACACAGACACACATATAATTACATGTAAATATCCATATATATATCTGTGTATATAGTAAATGTGTACTAGCCAGGCATTGTACAAAATAAATATGTGTCTACGTATATATATGTGTCTGTGTATATCATCACTCTTACAACTATTATTATTGTCTCATTTTTCTCTTTACCTATCTCTTTTTCCTGTGACCCTTTTTCACTACCATAAAAATTATTTTTCTACAACCAAATAATTTGCCCAGCTAACTATATAAACTACTCTCTGGTCACTCTCTCCTCATCCTTTTTGTTCTTTCCTTTTATGCTACTCAAATACTGAATACTTATAATAACCACGCTCTATGACACCATGTCTGTTGCACAAGTTCCTGTACCCCATAATGCCTTCTCCATTTCATTTGCCTAGAAAATTCTGACTCATCCTTCAAACCTTGAATTCAAACATCTTTCCTGAAGTTTTCCCTAATGCATCCTGATCATTCACTTCTCTCTCACCTCTGTACCTCACACATACTTCTACATTATAATTATCACCTTGTATTGTGACCACTTAACTATTAAAATGTGGACCCTGTGAGTACTGGATATTCACCTTCTATTTTCAGAACCTAGCACAGTGCCTGGAACATGAAACGTGCTAAATAGGTACCTGCAGAGTTAAATTTAAGCCAATCCAACAGTCTCCAGAAGCATACTCCGTCAATTCCCCCTCCCTCACTCCCAATCTTATTCTTATCTCCTGATTACTTCCCTTTAATCTAGTAATATGCTTCTCTACCCTAAACAGACTCCACCCCTCCCTTGAAGTGCTAGCTCATTTTCCTATTCAATGTTTAATGCAGAATCATTTCTCAATTTGTCATCTTACCTGTTAGAACACGTTTGCTTTTTTACATCACAAAGTGCACACTTCTATTTAGCTCTTATACATATTTTTTCTACCAGAATTAGACATTTAAATGTATTTTCTCGACCGTATCAAAAAGGCCTGAAATTCTTCTCTGTCCTGGTCAGAAAACAGTAAACTTTTCCCCAAACAAAGGAAAATTTTCCTTTTCTTTTAAACAGTAAAAATGTATTACCTGAGTAAGAATTAAGAGAGACTGTCCACCGTACTGTTAGTCCTATTAAAACCACTATTGTCATCAAGTACCATTTCTCCATAGTTCTTCAAATTTAGGGAAGGGAAGAAAACACAGCACCAGTGCCAGAGTACTTTTAAAATGCGGTCAGTCACTTCCCTTCTTGTTCAGAGAAATGTTATCACTTCTTCAAATGTTATCGATTCTTCGCAATTAGAAGTTTGAGAGGGTTTTAATGATGCTTGGTTGCCAAATAGTCAAAAATTGATTATGTCTGTGTAGAAGTAGCCTAAGGGGAAAAAAGATACCAAGATTTAGCTGAGCACAGTACCTACAACAATGAATCCAGTAAACCACGTAGATAGATAGAGAATTCCGGGGGAGGGGTAGTAGGAAGGAATGTGAAGGAAAGGTGGTATTTTAAGTTCCTTATTCCTTAGTCCTTTAGTTGGGAATATACATCAAAACTTGGATCTCCCTATTAAGTGGGACTTAATACATCTAAAGCTATAGCAAAGATTTACCTCACAAGAGAATATTTCTGAGAAAAGAAAAACAACAGATATGTTGGTAATGACACAGTTAATTCTGTTTAGAACATGTTCACTAACAGGTAAATATAAAATTGCAACTGTGGACAAAAGGGTAATTATCTTTGGTACAGCAAGAAGGAAGAATTTTGTCTTTTTTTTTTTTTTTTGAGACGGAGTTTCGCTTTTGTTACCCAGGCTGGAGTGCAATGGCACGATCTCGGCTCACCGCAACCTCCGCCTCCTGGTCTCAGGCAATTCTCCTGCCTCAGCCTCCTAAGTAGCTGGGATTACAGGCACGCGCCACCATGCCCAGCTAGTTTTATTGTATTTTTAGTAGAGACGGGGTTTCACCATGTTGACCAGGATGGTCTCGATCTTTCGACCTCGTGATCCACCCGCCTCGGCCTCCCAAAGTGCTGGGATCACAGGCTTGAGCCACCGCGCCCGGCCGAATTTTGTCTTTGTATTTAGTTTGGTGAAGTCTTCCAATAAATAATTCATCTAGTTTGGTTTTTACTTTTCTTCCAAAACATACTTGCATTAACCACACCAACTTTCCATCTTAGAGAAATGAGCCTTTCTAAGAATCATTAAGAATAGCCCCAAATCGTGAGAAAAAATACAAAAGCAGTAAAACTCAACCACTTACTTTTTTTTTTTTACAGTTTTCCTTAGGGGTTTTAAAGTAAGCAGCAAATCGATGCCAGGTGCAGTGGCTCAGGCCTGTAATCCCAGCACTTTGGAAGGCCAAGGAGGGCGGATCACCTGAGGTCAGGAGTTCCGGACTAGCCTGACCAACACAGTGAAGCCACATCTCTATTAAAAGTACAAAATTAGCTGGGTGTGGTGGTACTCACCTGTAATCCCAGCTACTTGGGAGGCTGAGGCAGAAGAATAACTTCAATCCAGGAGGTAGAAGTTGCAGTGAGCTGAGATGGCGCCATTGCACTCCAGCCTGGGCAACAAGGGCAAAACTCCATCTCAAAAAAAAAAGAAAGGCCAGGAGCAGTGGCTCACACCTGTAATCCCCAGCACCTTGGGAGGCCAAGGCAGGTGGATCACGAGGTCAAGAGATTGAGACCATCCTGGCCAACATGGTGAAACCCGTCTCTATTAAAAATACAAAAATTAGCCAGGCGTTTGGCACGCCCCTGTAGTCCCAGCTACTCAGGAGGCTGAGACAGAAGAATCGCTTGAACCCGGGAAGCGGAGACTGCAGTGAGCCAAGACTGCACCACTGTGCTCCAGCCTGGTAACAGAGCAAGACTCCATCTCAAAAAAAAAAAAAAAAAAAAAGAAAAGCAGCAGCAAATTGACATTTTCCTCTTCTCTTTGAAAAATGTTGGACCATGTTAACCACAGGATACACTTTAAATATATTCAGAAAATATAATAAATCAACTAAAATTTTTAAGGCAAACTTGGTACCTTCCACCTAACGATCTAAAATTATTTTCTCTTTTTGCTTTTTTTTTTCTTCTTTATTGAGACAGAGTTTTGCTCTTGTTGACCAGGTTGGAGTGCAATGGCTCGATCTTGGCTCACTGCAACCTCCACCTCACAGGTTCAAGTGATTCTCCTGCCTCAGCCTCCCAATTAGCTGGAATTAATAGGTGCCCGCCACCATGCCTGCCTAATTTTTGTATTTTTAGTAGAGATGAGGTTTCCCCAGGTTGGCCAGGCTAGTCTTGAGCTCCTGACCTCAGGTGATCCACCCGCCTCAGCCTCCCAAAGGGCTGAGATTACAGGCATGAGCCACTGTGCCTGGTCCTAATTATTTTCTTACTTAAAAACATCATGCAATAACTCTAGAACTGATTGGAATGGCTAATCTTTTGTCATTCATGCCATATCTCAAATCACCCCCTCAGAAACATCATCCCTGACTACCCTACTAAAGCTTCCTCCCCTTACTATTTATATCATTACCTTCTTTAATTTGCTTCCTGCCGAGCCCAGTGGTGCCTGTAATCCCAGCGTTTTGGGAGGCCAAGGTGGGTGGATCACAAGGTCAGGAGTGATACCAGCCTGACCAACATGGTGAAATCCCATCTCTACTAAAAATACAAAATTTAGCTGGGCGTGGTGGCAGCTGTAATCCCAGCTACTCAGTAAACTGAGGCAGGCGAATCGCTTGAACCCGGGAGGCGGAGGTTGCAGTGAGTCGAGATCGTGCCACTGCCCTCCATTCTGGGCGACAGAGTCAGACTGTGTCAAAAAAAAAAAAAAAAAAAAAATGCTTTCTAATTCTTTTCACTATCCGTAATGGTATTTTCACATGACATGGTGCAATCTCACACACACAGTTTTCAGTAAAAATGCTGAACACCAAGAATATCTATCATATGGTTCCATGAAACGTTCATAAATAGGTAAAACTAATCTATGGTGTTAAAAATCAGGAAAGGTTACCTTTGAGGAGGAAAGAAGGGATGGTGATTGGGAGGGGTGTCCACAGAGGTCTGAAATGCTGTGAATCTTGCTTCTTGGTTTGAGTAGTAGTTAGGAGATGTGCTGACTTTAGGATAAATTAACAAGTTACAATTTATAAAACAGGCTGGTCGTGGTGGCTCACCCCTGTAATCCTAGCACTTTGGGAGGCCGAGGCAGGCGGATTACCTGAGGTCGAGAGTTCGAGACCAGCCTGGACAACACTCAACACAGTGAAACCCATCTCCACTAAAAATTCAAAAATTAGCCGGGCGTGGTGTCGCGTTCCTGTAATCCCAGCTACTCGGGAGGCTGAGGCAGGAGAATCCCTTGAAAATGGGAGGCAGAGGTTGCAGTGAGGAGAGACACCGACATTGCACTCCAGAGCAAGACTCCGTCTCAAAAAAAAAAAAAAAGCAAGCATAAAAGGAAAGTAGATGGATGTGTCGACTAGAGTAAAGGCTCCCTGTGAGCAGGGATCCTCCTGTCTCAGTCGTTACTCTCTATTCCCTACTTGTAGCCAGTGTTAGCAGAAGACAGGTACCCAAGAAGTATTTGCTGAATGGAGCTGCGAGTGTCTGTGTACATGAAGCGGGGCGATACCTAAGTCTACTGAGCCCTATGTGGTTAAAGATTTTATGCGAGGCTTTTAACCACTCTATTTTCCTGAAACCAGAAAAAGGGTTCTTTGCGACTTTTTCCACCTGTAAGTCAGAATACAGTAACCACCCGCCACGAAGTTGCTAGGCAGGCAGTAGAGGCGCTTTTCGTCCTCCTTCACCCTGATGGTGCATCTCGACAAGTGCCAAGCCCGCCCTCCACGTCCCAGAGCCGACTTTGCTCCTCTTAGTCTGCAAGATCCTTCCCCCGCAGTGGACACAACACCGCGGAGTGCAGCTAACCGGTCGAGCATACGGGGCGAAAGGGATCCCTTTTCACGTTTCTCCGCCCCTCCTCCTGGGGCCAGACCCTCTGAACCTCAAGGACAAGGGCGCCAGGACCGCCCCAGCCTGGAAGGGCCATGACTATCACGGCGTCTCCTCACCGGACCCCCAGGCGACCCTGCGGGAAGGCCTGGGGAGGCCTCGTGTCGCATTCCAGGGAGTCGAGCGGAGCTGAGAGCCGGGTCGCCAGCTCTGCGCCGCCTCGTGGCGTGTGGCCAGCCCCCAGCACCTCCCCATATCGGCCCCGGGTCCAGAATCCCGGGGATCCCTTGTCCTTACCCCGCCGCCCGCCGGCCGCTGGAATTTGCGCCTGCAGCGGGTCCCAGGAAGGCGCCTGCGCGCTCGCCCCCGCGGCCGACTGTCCCTCCGGCCGTCCACCTCCGCGCGCCCGCGCACCCCCCGCGCGCCTGGTGCGGGAGCGAGCCCGTCGAGCGTGAGGGGAGGGGCGGCGGCCGGCTTAGGAGGTGGGGCGAGAGCCGCTGGAACCTGAGAGGTCCCAGACCCGGGTTAGGCTAGGGGCAGGTGGAAAGCCCCTTGCTCTTCTTTCCTGGGATCGTGGCCAAGACCAGAGCGGCTGCTTAGCCCACAGATTCCTGTCAGGGGCGGGTCCTGGCTGGCTGCACTGAGCGGAGAGCCTCGGCCGGTCCTCACCACCAGGCAGTAAGTAGGGCTTCCTGTGGGTCTGTGCCACTGAGCAGCAAGAAAGCCAACCTGCTTCGCTTTCTTCCAGCTGCATGCCTGAGAAGAAGAATGTGGTAGGACTGGGCAGCCACCTCAAGCAAGAAACGTTACTGAACATCCAGCCATTTTCAAGAGCCTGTGCGTTGCGCAGAAGGACAGCCCTGCCCTCAGGTAGCCACTACACGTGCCCCAGCGGGCAGCGTGAATCACCTATTCCCAAACTTGTTAAAAATACCTATCCAGTATGTTAGCAAGACCCGCACACGTTTCCTTTCGCAGTAATCCCTTCATTTCCAGTTCCGCTGTTTCCGTCTCAGTCTAGGCCCGTGTCCAATCATGCATGGACAGTTGTAATGATTTCTACCTGCCTTCCTTTGTTCAGAGAATGCCCTCATTCCCCACTTATGAATCTTGCCATTCTGCGTAAGCCAACCCTACAATTTATAAGGGTTAGCAAATATTTGGCTATGACTATGACTTTCTACTGAGTCTGAACAGCTTCTCTCTGGGCCTCCGTTTTTTTCAACTGTGAAAGGAATCAGTAGGGCTAGGTGAACTTCCAGGTCTAAAAGATGATTATATCTAAAAGACCATCAGCAATGGGAATATGGAGAAATATGGCCAGCTCCCCACCCTCAAGGCATTTAATTCTCATTGGAAAGACATTTTTATGCATAAAAGGATAAAAAGCTATAGAAGGTAACACATACTAAATGTTACATTACTTATATATGCACTAAGCACTGTAGGAGTTAGGAGAAGAGAGTTCACTGTAAACTGCAAACCATCAGGAAATGCTTTTCCTGGAGGAGTCAGCTGAGCTTTGAAGGAAAGCCTGGTCTTGGATGAGCCCAGAGAATGAGAGTAGGAATCTAGACAAAGGAAATGGTTCAAGCCAAAAATTGTGGCAGCTGAAAAGTGCAGAACATTTCCTCTAGTTTAGACAGTGGATGATGAAGCTGGAAAGGAGTGGTAATTATAGAGAGCCTTGAATACCAGGCTGTGGTGTCTGGAATGTATCTAGTGATCAGTAAGGGGCTGTTTAATGACTTTTAGCAGGGAGTCCATGTACAATACCATGTTAGAGAAAAACTAAATTGGTAAAAATGGGTCAGATGAATTACAGAGGGACTGAAGCCGTCCATGCATGATTAGACAAGGGCCTGGACTGAGATGGCAATAGTGGAACCGGAAAGGAAGAGATCAATGCAAGAAGAAACATGTACAGGTCTTAATAGCAGCACACTAGATGTGTAGGAGTGAAACAAAGGAGAGAGAAGAATCAAGGATGGCTCCCAAAAACCGATAGATCTTGGGAAGCCTGGAGAATAATCTGGCTTGGAGGGAAAGATGGAGCACTGTATTGAGTTCAAGGTGACATAAAGACAAGAAAGTTATAAAACTCAGGTGTCAGTTATGAATCAGAGCCCAGGAAAGAAGTTGGGGTGAAGATAGAGAGATGAAAGCATTTCATTTGCTGAACAGTGATGGAGACAGTATAGAGAGAAAACAAGCAACTTTACTTGAATAAATGCATGATCTCAGGCCAAGAGAAGGAAGGTAGACTGGTGAAGGATATTACATGGTTACAAACATAGAAAGAAATCCAGTACATTGCAGGATCATAACTATTAAGCATTTTGTGAATAAGAACCATGTTTGGCAGATCAAAAATCATATTTTATTTAATCTAAAGTTCTACCACTTGTAAAAAGCACCATTATTTTATGTACCACTGAGGAAGAAAACAATACTACCATTTAAGCTAATAATTACTGTAAAACACATATAATTTCAGAAATTGTATGTGAAAAAAATAATACGTGAAAAATATACACCTGAAAGTGATTTAAGTTGATATCAATCTCTCCTTCCTGTTTCTGAACCCAATAGCTTCTGACCCAGTATTTAACAAAAAGTTGATGTTCAAAATGTTCATTGAATACATAGTAGAAGAGACATCACAGTCACTAATTCATAGCTGAATTGTCCCACCACTGCCAGCTACATACGTTCTCCTGCTCTTTACCTCCAATAGGTATTATCTTTCGCATCTGAATGTCCAGTGCCTTTATATAACAGATGCTCAGCAAATCCATTTTGAATGATAGCATTTACTATAACCAAAAAGGATAAGCCATAGCAAAACTGTAGAGTAGATCAAGTTTAGAGGAAGTGTCGAAAGGTGATTAGAACTGGTGTCTAACTCTGAAGACAAACAGGTTTAGATTTAAATCTCAGTTCTGGGCCGGGCGCGGTGGCTCAAGCCTGTAATCCCAGCACTTTGGGAGGCTGAGGCAGGTGGATCACGAGGTCAAGAGATCGAGACCATCCTGGTCAACATGGTGAAACCCCATCTCTACTAAAAATATAAAAAATTAGCTGGGCATGGTGGTGCATGCCTGTAATCCCAGCTACTCAGGAGGCTGAGGCAGGAGAATTGCCTGAACCCAGGAGGCAGAGGTTGCGGTGAGCCGAGATCGCGCCATTGCACTCCAGCCTGGGTAACGAGCAAAACTCCTTCTCAAAAAATAAAAATAATAAATAATAAAATAATAAAATAATAAAAATAATAAAGTAAATCTCAATTCTTCTGCTTTCCAGTTGTGTGAACTTGGTAAAGTCTCCTAATGTTTCTGACAAAATTACTTCACCTGCAAGAAAAGAATCATAATAATGTCATCTTCTTTGAATTTTAATGAGAGTAAACTGAAATCATGCATATAAAACGTGAACATACTGCCTGGCATATAGTATGCAATCAATAAATAATAGCTATTATAATTTGACTCTAACATGTGTTCACTTTTTCATAGCCTTTTCCTCTCTTTGCAGTGTCTTCTTTCCCCTACCATATAGCAGCCCATACATATATATATATTTACATCCCCACCAGAAGCCTACTGTTCTTACCTGAAAATTTTCTCTGAAACCACAACCAGACACAGTAGCTCACACCTGTAATCCCAGCACTTTCGGAGGCTGAGGTGGGCAGATCCTTTGAGCCCAGGAACTAAAGACCAGACTGAGCAACATGGCGAAAACCCGGTCTCTACAAAAAGTACATAAAAATTAGTGGAGTTTGGTGGTATGCTCATATAGTCCCAGAATCTCAGGAGGCTGAGATGGGAGGATCGCTTGAGCCCAGGGAGGTTGAGGCTACAGTGAACCATGATTGCACCAACGCATTCCAGCTTGAGTGAGAGAGCATAACCCTGTCTAAAAAATACAAAAATAAAAAATTTGCTCTCTTTTCCGGTTAGCACGGCAGGAGAAGCCATGAGCAGCAAAGTCTCTCACGACACCCTGTGCGAGGTGGTGTGGGAAGTCCTGCACAGGAACCAGTGCAAGCGCCGCAAGTTCCTGGAGACGGTGGAGTTGCAGATCAGTTTGAAGAACTATGACCCCCAGAAGGACAAGCGTTTCTCGGGCACCGTCAGGCTTAAGTCCACTCCTCACCCCAAGTTCTCCGTGTGTGTCCTGGGGGACCAGCAGCACTGTGACGAGGCCAAGGCCGTGGATATCCCCCACATGGACATCGAGGTGCTGAAAAAACTCAACAAGAATAAAAAACTGGTCAAGAAGCTGGCCAAGAAGTATGATGCATTTTTGGCCTCAGAGTCTCTAATCAAGCAGATTCCACGAATCCTCCGCCCAGGCCTAAATAAGGCAAGAAAGTTCCCCTCCCTGCTCACACACAATGAAAACATGGTGGCCAAAGTGGATGAGGTGAAGTCCACAATCAAGTTCCAAATGAAGAAGGTGTTATGTCTGGCTGTGGCTGTTGGTCACGTGAAGATGACAGACGATGAGCTTGTGTGTAACATTTATCTGGCTGTCCATTTCTTGGTGTCATTGCTCAAGAAAAATTGGCAGAATGTCCGGGCCTTTTACGTATGTCAAGAGCACCATGGGCAAGCCCCAATGCCTATATTAAGCCACATTTGAATAAATTCTACCAGTCCAAAAAAAAAAAATTCTCTGAAGTCAAATTACACTAATGCATAGTCCTTATTAAAAGTTGTTGCAGGCCGGGCGCGGTGGCTCAAGCCTGTAATCCCAGCACTTTGGGAGGCCGAGGCGGGTGGATCACCAGGTCAAGAGATTGAGACCATCCTGGTCAACATGGTGAAACCCCGTCTCTACTAAAAATACAAAAAATTAGCTGGGCATGGTGGCACGTGCCTGTAATCCCAGCTACTCAGGAGGCTGAGGCAGGAGAATTGCCTGAACCTAGGAGGCGGAGGTTGCGGTGAGCCGAGATCACACCATTGCACTCCAGCCTGGGTAATAAGAGCGAAACTCAGTCTCAAAAGAAAAAAAATAAGGAAAAAAAAAAAAAAAAGAAAAGAAAAAAAGAAACTCACTCAAAACCGCACAACGACATGGAAACTGAACAACCTGCTCCAGAATGACTACTGGGTAAATAATGAAATTAAGGCAGAAATAAATAAAATATTTAAACCCAATATAAATGTAAAAAAATAAAAATCTTTAAAACCAATGAGAACAAAGAAACAACATACCAGAATCTCTGGGACACAGCTAAAGTAGTGTTTAGAGGGAAATATATAGTACTAAATGCCCACAGGAGAAAGCAGGAAAGATCTAAAATCAACTCCCTAACATCACAATTAAAAGAACTAGAAAAGCAAGGGCAAACTAATTCAAAAGCTATCAGAAGACAAGAAATAACTAAGAT